CTATTTCTTTGCTGAAAGAAACTGTTAATGAGTCCTTGATTGATCAATATTGCATGTCTCTATTTGTTTTCATGAGAAGCCACTTTGAAGATAATATGTAATACAACAAGCATTGTTAATTTTCTACCACTTTGTTTGTAACTCTGTATTGTCTGTACTGTTCTTTTGCTATTTTGTAAAAGGTTGTCTGTCTGTCCTTTTTCCTTCTTTTATTTTTAAAATAAAAAAAGAATTAAATACTTTATTTTATTGATATTTTATGTTCCTGTTAACTATACACTCCATAACATAATAATAAGAACCTCCTCAGAAAACAGCAAGACCACTAAGATGTCGAGTATGTCTTACAAAAAGACAAGGAAAGCGAAACACATGTGCTGTCAGTGTAAGCCACAGTTGTATATGGAACGTTCTAGTATCATTTCCACAGGCTGACTTAGGTTTGATAATTGAAGTAAAGTTTTTTGTAAAGCACTACTCGTACTTTTATTCTAGTTCATATAAGAATTTATTTGTGTTGTTGTTTTTTAGAGTTAGTACACAAAAGCCCATGTTGAAAATTTTCATCTTTTTTATAACTGCTCAATAAATATTAAAAATCCAGTACTTTATTTTTGTGACTTTTTCCTATTAAGAGTTCATTGTTTTGTATAATAAAACTCATAAAATTAAATCATGAATAGAAATATTCTGAAAAGAAATAAACGTGGGTCTAACAGACCCAGGTTTACATGCCTCGACGACAAAATTATGCCCCTAAATCATGGCCTAGTTCTGGGACAGTTTCGGTTAGGCTGTCTCTCCAGGGCCCGTCACAACCGTTACAACCTGCATTCCACCAGAGGGCGCATCCAACCCGCATAGCTTCCGGCAGTTCATCAGCAGGGAACACGTAAAGGCTGACATAGTTAGACCCAATGCAGCTTCCGTACCCTCCTCCCGGCAAGTACACAGGAAGTAGAATAGGCGTTTGGGGACTCAGGGCTTGGATCAGGGAAGAGGCTGGACCGCTGAGTTGCTCTCGCAGAACCCCGCTCGCCTGTGGCTCTAGTCTAGGCCTTTGTCCGGGCCGGCGGCCGGCTCCCGGCACAAGTTTCGTGGGAAGCATGGCCGAATACTCCTACGTAAAGTCCACCAAGCTCGTGCTCAAGGGAACAAAAGCCAAAAGTAAGAAGAAAAAAAAAGAAAAGAAGAGAAAAAAAGAAGAGGATGAAGAAACCCAACTTGATATTGTTGGAATATGGTGGACAGTAGCCAACTTCGGTGATATTTCGGGAACCATTGCCATTGAAATGGATAAAGGAACCTATATCCATGCACTTGACAATGG